ACTAAGAACATGAAGAAGTAAGTTAAGGAAGAGCTCCGAGCTGCGAACGCCAATAGCTACCTAAAGACTCCTCGGATCCGCCTGAGCCGGAATGATCAGCACTCGGGAGCGGGACCAGATACGCCTGAATCTGCACACAGGGTGCAGGGAGTAAAATGAGTACTCCAACTCAGTAAGTAATAATCATAAATAAAGATTGAAAGCATAAAATCACGTAAGGCACAAAAGCATGCTATATTAAAGCAGTAAAAACCCTTTTAAAATAGTAAACTAGTGAAAAATAGGTAAAAATCCTTTAACTCAAATTTAACTTCCTAAAAAGTCTTTTTCAACAATTAAGCAGGTAAATGACAATCAATTATAAAAATAAACACAAAAAGGTTCGCCCCTCGGGCACAGTATCAACAAATCCGCCCCTCGGGCAACATCTCAGAACAGTACCAGCCCCTCGAGCAACATCTCAGAACAATACCAGCCCCTTGGGCTCAATCTCACATCACAATGGGTACCCACGCTCACTGGGGGTGTACATACTCCTGGAGGGTCCCTTTATGGCCCAAGCGCAATATCAAGCCACCTCGTGGCATCGTCACTAGGCCCTCGGCCTCACATCAATCAAGCCACCTCATGGCATACATATCTCAGGCCATCGGCCTCATAATCAGTATATGTTTTCTCACAACATTGGCCATCGGCCTTACTCAGTCAAAATCCTCACAAGCCACTCGGGCAATAGTAAAACATGATTCTTAGCACAAAAATATCATTTAAAAAATCATGTAAGTGTTAAAACAGAGTAAACATGGCCGAGTACAAAAAATAGTGAAATATAACATGACTGAGTTCAAGTATAAAGTCAAAACAGTGAGGAAATACCAGTAAAAATCCCCTAAGGGTTCAAATAGTTGGCACAAGACCCAAATATGGCATTCAGCCCAAATCATGATGATATCAAATAGATTTCAATCAAATACGCGATAAAATAGTCATTCGGGATGGACTAAGTCACAATACCCAACAATGCACGACCCCACGCTCGTCATCAAGCATGTGCGTCACCTCAATATAGCACAATGATGTGCAAGTCCAGGATTTCATACCCTCATAACATCATTTACAATCATTACTCACCTCGAACCGGTCAAATCTCTAGCTCGTGACACCTTTGCCCCTCGAATCGGCCTCCACTCGCATCGAAT